ATCTTGTTACCTAACTTGTCATGTTTTCTTCAGATTCAAAAGATCTTCACACACACTGGGATTGAGAAAGAGGTCCCACATCTACATGCCTCTGTGAACATGGCAGAAAAATCTCAAGTAGGTCAAAATTTAGGTATTCAGATACAGCACTTTACCCTAACAGGACAGTGGGAAAAGAAAGGCAAATGTCATTAACTGTTTAAGCCAAATTTTATCTTTTTGCCTTCAAGATGATAAGCTTATTTCAGAGCTAATGAATAATCAGAAACCCACATAAAATTACTTATTATATATATACTTATTATATATTATTATATTCTGGTACAGACTTCCTTTGAGTACTCTGTTTACTTGTTTTACAGGTAGGATCGGACTGCTTGGTTGCTGAGGGTACACAAATTGGAGAGAAGGTTTCTATAAAACGTTCTGTGATTGGGCGACATTGTAAGATCGGGGACCGTGTCCGAATCGCTAATTCCACAATACTGGATAATGTTGTCATTGAGGAGGGGTGAGTTGATTGAAGAATGCTAACAAAAGCATGCTAATTATACCAATGATCATAGATTTTTTTGTAATCAGTACATGTATATATTTGCGAGATGGGCGATGAAAAAAGGTTTGCTACGCTTGTCTGTATTGGCAATGAAGTATTGATAAATGGTCAATGACATACACTTTTCATTAAATGAGAACAATTTCTGCCAGAGGATATTTGATATTTTTCTTCAGGGACTGAAAAATAATTAGAGAAAAACTCATTATGAATTTTTTAAAATAAAATTTTTGAACACATTCTTAATTCTGAAGGGTGTTTGCTCATAAATTCATTATGGAATTTATGAAAATTAGTATTGCTTGAAGCATCATACCATTATTACAGTCTTGAAGCAAAGAATAATAACTAGACAATTTTTTTTTTCATAAAATAAGCCTGTTTTGAATACAAGTTAGCAGGATGGTACTTCTTCTGTTAAAAGTAAGAATATTGAATCAGTTGGAGAAACTGATTATAATAATAAAAGCTCTTACTAGTTGTATTGTTTACCTATAAAACAGTGTGACTCTGACAAAGATTGTCTGCAGAGCAGACCTGGGGTAATGGTAATGTGTAATGGTAATGCATTGTAATCATTACATTTTTTCAAAGTAATGGGATGTAATGTGTAATGGATCCTCCTTTCAATTACAAGTAATTGTAATGTAATGCATTACTTTAAAAAAATGTCAGTAATGACCAATTTCTTTTCAATTACATTTCAATTACATTTTGTATATTAGTCTCTTATTTTTTAATCTCAAACAAATAAATATCACTGAGATTTTTTTTTTTAATTAATAATGTTAGAATCTTAAAATTAAAATCCTGTATCCTACAATTTTTTTTTAATTATTAAATGGTAACTGATAGACATGTTAAATTATTGTTTTAATAGAAAACTTCTTCACAAGGCAATTGTAAAATCAATCAAAGAGAACCAGAGAAAAATATTAAAAGAAATCATCAGGTTTTAAAGAAAGATACAAAAAAAGACATTAATACATGTATAGTGAGACTTCCAGTTAAATTACGATACAAACTATATTTTTCTACTTATTATTTTCCCTTTTCATTCTGGTAAAATGGACTTGGTAAACATGATACAAGATCAGTATGATTTATTGTAGACACAAAGAGAAATAAAGCCAAACATAAATATAGACTGATATATTTACCATCATTCATTTTTGGTAGCGTAAGGCCTCAAAATTCAAATACTATATTTAGGTACTTGTAATTATCACCTTTGGTTGTGTTTGATTTAATAAAGCTTCATTGATTATACCTGTTCAGCTAGTTAGAAGTGCTAATTAATTCGTTAAGTATTTTAATACTTTTTTAACATTTATAGCATTATCTGTTAATTAAATATTAGTTAAATACATAAACATATAGTAGGAAATGTTTAATAAATCACATATTTAAAAAAACAAAAACATAACAGAAACTAACATCAGATATTGAACAAAATAATTACTATTTCAGGTGAAGCTGTAACGGTGAATAGAAACGCCCATGTTATCCAGGCGGACATCAGCGCTACTAATGGAGTCGTACATCTCATTGATCACGTGCTCATTCCCTCTAGATATCATCTATCATCTATTCTAGGATAAAACTAATTTAAAATAATATTTATTTTTTCCCCCAATGTTATTTCATTTGTTAATATATATTATGTACATATAATTTCATGTTTGTAAATATTTCATCAAAATTTTATTTTGTCAATAAAATATTCTTAAATACTAAGTACTGATTTTTTGCCTTACGGTGATGATTTTAAATTTCCTGTCATTCTTAACAATGTGGACATGCATGTAGCGCTGTTGCTAATGTGCAAAACCTTGCAGTCTTCCCCCATACCCCAATCGCCTGGCCTCCTATTCATAAAAATCCTGGACGGAAAAAATAAAACTTGTCACTTGTTAGTGATCCGAATATAACTTGAATTTCTGTGGATTTAGAAACGTCCGTCAACATTTAACGATGAGTAATACATCATGTTTATAGTTGCAGCAGAAACCAACTTTCTTCTGATGTATATTGAATAAAAGGCTGTGAAAACAACTCTTACGGCTATTTTTTTTCCGGGAATTTCAAATGACTCTCAATCGTTCTACTTTGTTTTGAATGTTGGAATATACAGAAATACATGTAACGAGTACAGTACTAGTATTCAAGTGCAAAAGTCCCTTTAATGTTTAAACAATACAAATCAGAAACAAAACAAATTTGGACCTCAAAAATACCAAAGGTGGGATCAGGTGCCATGGAAGAGTGAGCATCCTCTGCCGACTGGTCACACCCGCCGTGCTTTTTGTTGTTGCATTTCATTTCTGGAATTTTTTTGAAATTTTCAAATTTAGTTTCATTTCCGACATTTTTTAGTTTTCATTTCCGATATTTTAAAGTTTTTATCTCCAACATTTTTAAGGTAGTGCTTTTCGGTAATGGAAGCAGTATTGAAGAATTACTGTAAATGTATTATATTTGGCGTGTACGATATTTAGCGGAAAGTGATTTTTTAAGAAGTTAGCGTCGATTTGATTTAGCGCATTCCTTGAAATTCTTATTCATGTATCAATGTTGAAGATATTTAGCGATGTACTTGAATTAGCGGAAGTATCTTTCCGCCAAAAGCGCTAAAAAATAGACCGCCAAATGTAATACGTTTACAGTAACTTATGAAAAATTAAATTTTATAAGAATAAATTATAGGATATAAAAATGTCTTGGACAAAAGTTTGGTTCAGTCATTGGCATTCAATGAAGTGAACATGAATGAGGATGAAAAGATGCATGCTCAATGAATTATTTTAACTAGACTTAGTGCTACATGTACATATGTATATAGACAACATTTTAAATTTATGTTTTAATTAATAATTTGAAAAATATGGTTTGAAATAATTCTTTGAAAATTTGATTTTCTACCTACTTGGTTAACATATTACATTGCCGGAGAGGTACCTTGCAAAAATCCGGAACATGAAAAAAAAATAAATGTTGAAAATGAAATTTAAAAATGTCGGAAATGCTTTGCAGATTTCCGGAATGAAATGCAGCGCTTTTTGTCATGAGCGGAAAAACGGAATTTGTATTATAAACGAATTTGAAAAAAGACTATCACCATGGGCTTCTTTTACAAAATGTTGCAAAGTGGTAACCTCATAAATAAAATGTATGAAATCAGTGAAATCCATGTAGAACTGAAGAGGGATCAAAAAAGTGTTTGTAAAACTCTACATTTTCTTTCGTTTATGATTACATACATGATTTTCTGAACAAACTAAATGTTTGACGAAATTTCAGAAATGGGATCATCTTCCTCCATTCTTTTTTTTCAATTTCTTTATGTGAATTATATTTTACTCTTTAATTCAATTTTCCCTTTCTATCCTTTAAAAATATTTTTAACACAAGGCAACTTATAAAACAAGGGATGTTTGTAAAACACTCATGCCCCACTCCCACAAATATTTGAATTTTTTTAAGTCCAAGGGGCATAACTCTATCCAAAATGGCTGGACCGTACCCAAACCTGAACTTGAACTATATATTCTCTAGATAAATCTTAATACCAAATTTTATTTCAATAAGCACAATTTCTGTAAGGAAAAAGAACGGAAACTGCAAATAAATAAAATTATTCTAAGTCCAAGGGCGTTAGGTAACTCTTTCCAAAATGGCTCGATCGTAACCAAAACAAAACTTGCTCTATATATTCTTATGATAAATCTGTACTTGTATATCAAATTTCATTTCAGTATGTGCAACCTCTGCGAAGAAAAGGAATGGAAACTGATGGTGGACCGACAGACAGCAACAAAGCAATATGCCCTGTCTCCCTTCTTCGAAGGGACGCATTAGTTTTAAATATTATTTTCAAAATTTAGCACCATTTCACCTAGACTCTCTTTCACAATTTTTTTCTAATCTTGGTGTAACTTGAGCAAGGATCTTCCTTATTTATACCTCAAATGTTTTCATTTTGGTTACATCGAATGTCCCCTGATCTATAGGGAGTAAGCACACTGTTGTGTTTAACTTTTTGCACTTTTTGCGGTATAGTCTAAAACCTCAAAACTTAGTCGGCTTTAATAAAAGGCTGGTTTGATGACAATACATTTTTATCATATATCATTGACTTTATCGATAAATCCGTTTGATGAGTAAAGGCACCAAAATATCTCTTTATTTAATTTTTAAAAATTTATCTATTTATTTTGCATTGAAGACAGCGTATAATAAAAATGATCACTATTTCAGCTTTGAGTACCTTGTGTTTTCCTTGCATGGATGCCTTTTGAATACATTGTGAAAGTAGACACTACTTTTTGAAATTTTGCTTGTGGCCGATTTGATGCTTTGATTCAATTTTACTTGTGTTTTATTTTTGTCGTGTTCTAGATGATGAAAAAAGTTAAATAATTTTGGAATTTAAATTACTCTTAATACTTGTATATACATGTTTATCAGCAGTAGATATTTTTGATCACATCAGTAGAACTACAGAGCTGAGTACACCTCAGATACATTCCGTTCTTGTCGTGGAATCTTCACATGAAGTGTTATGAGCGAGGGAGAATTAAACAGTGATTGGCCAGTGGTGGTTGCCATTTTGAGTCTTTTAAATTCAGTAAAAATGACTTGTATGTCAGCCCATCAAGGTTTTTTCCATTATGACTTTTTCTCTCAAGATACATTCCTGAAATATTACAATTTTTAAAAAAATAATCCTCCTAAGAATAGAAAAGATTTTGTACTTCTATAGAAGTAAGCTACTGATGATCAAAGGAAATGAGGTTTAGAGGATATCTGCAAAATTCTTTAAACTAAAATCAAGTTTTTAACTTCACTGAAACTGTGAAATACAGTATAATTTGTCCAAACCGGCTACCGCCGGTTCCATAAAATTTGGCCGGTTTAGACAGAATCCGGAGTGCAGGAAAAATGCAGAAAAATATTAATTTTGAAAATTTCATTGTTTATTTACAAGTACATCATATACATAATATAAACTTTAATTAAATGATGAAATCAATCAATATTTTGGAGTCTAGAAATTAAAAAAGTCTCACGTGACTCACTGTATTTCCTTGTTTGTTCACGAAGTTTGAATGTAGAAGTAAAATGTTACCCAAATCAAAATATACAGGCACGCATAGTATAGGCCTACTATATATCAAGCGGACTGGGTTTCGCTTGTCAAAGAGCTCATTCTGTGTAAAAACATTGATGCACAATTATTAACGATTTGCTAATTATTAGATTGATCTTTTAAGTCTATGAAAAAAAATTACGTCTTCCCCCACAGTGTTATGGCGCCATTTTGAAATGCGTTCGATCTTCGATCGCGATTTATATTATGTTTTGTAAATCGCGTTCATATATTTTTTGTGTATATGTTATAATGTGTTAAAGGAGTTAAAACAAAGCTGTTTTTTAAAATTGTAATTCAATCATATAATGTTTTTTTTTTTTCAACTGGGCCGTGTCACCGCCGCATTTCACTGAGTTCGTCCCATGGCACTAATCATGCTAGCTAATGTAAACACAGATTATCACCACGAAAGGTGTTAATTGCTTTGAAGTAACTCAGGTGTGGCCGGATTAGAGGGAATGATTACCGTTAATTATGAGCAGTTGGGACCAGTATGGCCGTTCGGAATACAGAATAGACAGTATCCAGACTACACAGAATTTTTTCTAATGAATTTGTTAAAGAAGTGCATGGGACTAAAATTTATAGACGGAATGGACAAAAATCCGGAGTACTCAGAGTCCGGATTAGACAAATTTTACTGTATATTTTGATCATTAAAAGAGAATTAAATTGTGCATAGTTTAGATACAGAAGTCTATGGCCTAACATACCTAGGTCTTCACGGGGAGGAAGGGATATGCTTCTTTTCCAGTCTGGATCTTCTATAAATAGAAGTTCTCGGACAGCTTTAGTAATGGTCTGAAAAATAAGCACCACTGGAAGTAATGAAACTATACACACCTATTTCATTAAAAGTATGTTACTGTCTAAGTGCCAGAAAACATAAGGATTTATATTGGTTGGCACCTGAGTTTGGAAAAGATTCAAAACAGTAATGTGCCATTGAAAGTTTGTGAATATTTATTTCTTGATGCACCTGAGCGAAAAGCTCCAGTGAGGGTTTTCTGATCAAAGAAGGTCTATTGTCTATGCAGTAAACAAAGTGTCCTCAACATAAACCACTCACACTGATAGCAATGGAAGTGAGGATTTCTCTATCTATGTAAAGTTTAGAAGTACATTGTATTCCAGAATTGAATGGAAAGTTTAGAGAGATTGGAGACCATGCCAAATTTTTTCTCTCTAGATTTTCTTTGCAATTTTGCAATGCCTCCACACTTCCGTGTTTACTTCATGATTTATGTGGAAAGTGCAAATCAGCTGATTAAGAAAGAGAGTCAATTATTTATGAAGCGTGGTCTAAGCTGACTCCAGTAAGATTTTAAAAATATAGATGTTTTGAATAAAATCAAGTATGAAGTGAGGTACACCCTCGAATAAATGCTAATTTCAGCATTTTTTTCATTTTAATGAGTGTATATTTAGACTAACAAAGAAAACACAACTGACAAAATAAACCTGCCTGAAATGAAGTGCATATTAAGTGATATAGAAAATAAACTCTTAAATCTTAATCCTTGAGTAGCATAAGGATGTGTTATTTACCTTAATATGTTGAAAGTCTGTGATTCCAATATTGGGTAGTTGTGAGGCCTCTCAGGGTTATTCGTTTCCTCCATCAATAAGATTTGTGGTGATGCAAGACTTGAAAGCAATGACCAGATTAAAATTAATCTGAAAAACATATATAACAGCACTCCTGTATCACATTGACATACTTTAAAAATAAAAGCAAAATTTGGGTAAAAAAAAAGATAGATTCCACCGTATGTAACTTTAGTGACAAGTCTTGCTTATATGAGTATAACCCAACCAAAACGATCACAATAACTAATATTTGACAATCCTACTTTTCCTTACGTTAACTTTATCGGTGTAAAGCTTTACTAAATCATTTTTAGCCATACTGTGTAATTAGGGAATCCTATTTTCTCGATCCACTCTGCCACTTTCTCCACAGACCAGTATAAACAGGGCGGAACATTGTCGTCCTTTAAATCTTCTATCGCACTCTCCATCGTCGACATTAGGATTACTGTTTACGTTTCTAAGGAATAATGGTAGTTATCGTTCTTGGAGCACTTGCTTCCGTTTTTACATCCCGATCCCGATGACTTGTTCATGCAACTGAGAAATACAGGCGCTGTGCTGATAAGATTTGTGGGATTTGATAATGTTCAAGTCTATTTACGTTTGTTATCTCTTTTTAAAACATGTAAGAAATAAACTACACTGTACTTTACGGCCATTCCTTACCAACAATTTTGATACATTTTTGTGCGACAAAAGTTTGTTCTTCTAAAATATAAACTTTGGTATGTAATTTGCAAAGTCACTTATGAGAACATGCAATATCATTCCCTCTATTTAACCCTTGCATGAAAATATGATTGGAAAAAAGACTGAAGCTTTAATATATCAAACCGCCGATCAAGAAAGGTATTTTTTCTTCATTTTTAAAATAATTATTTTATGGGTATACTGTTTTTCAACTCACTTTCGTGGATAATTTAATCAATGTTTAAAGAGATACTTCTAATGGAAAGTATTTTCATCTCGTACAATAATGCCTTTTGAAATGAAAAAAGGTATTTATAAATTAATTAATTTAAAAATATCCGTATACAAAATTAAACAAACATCCGTGTTGTTTAGCTAGGGGAAACACCTTTACATTACACGGATTGAGTGTAGACGTTTTTCTTTTGGCGAATGAGTAACTGAAAAAATATAAAGCCAAACATGAAGAGAGAGGACTTTGGATAATTTGACAACCATTACAGGCACAAATTTCGTGGTCATTTCAAACTATTCAGCTTTCCCTGTGTCTCGGTATACAAAGTTTGATACAGCAAACTGTCAGGCGGAAGAGTTTAGGGATTATCTGTTTTAATATACCTAATGCAACTACCTCCCATAACCTCCGCTTCTAACATGTTATGAGAGTGCCAGAAGAAGGCAGTTTTTCCAAAGTTTACAAGAAATTAAATTTTAACATAATATAAAGAGTTTAACCCAGACAAGAAAGGATCCTGTGTGTGTGTGTGTGGGGGGGGGGGGGGTGCAATCAACATCATTAACTCCGTATCTTTAAGGTATGCATTATGTGCCATCAAATTTTTCCTCTTTTCAGAGACGGGACCAGAGGAACACACTGTATTTTCAGTCGGAAGTCAATCAAAAAATAAAAGGATACTATTTCTTTCCCAGTATACGAGGGTTGTCCCGTAAAGTCGTGGACAAAGCGTTTTTCTCGAAAAGCAATGGGCACACTGAGCTGAAAATTTCAGTAAATGTTTATTTATCATATTTAAGTGAATGATAATTTTTTTGATAAAATATAGGCAAAAATAAAGATTTTATTATGCTTGAATGTGCACGAGGTATTGTCCTACGGCGCACGGTCAAAAAACCAAGGTTTTATTAAAGAATACACAAGTTTGAATTCAAATAAAAGTTTTAAATGCATAAGATTTGGATTAAAATTATCCTAATTCAATTCCATATTCAATTTTGTAGTCTTTGGAAAAATTTTAAGGCATTTGCTTAATTTTTGGCAGTTTCTCGAGCATTCGAAATGGGAAAGTGGTAAACACAACATACGAAAAATGGCGACGTTTTATGACGTTACGGAGCACCGGAGAACAGTTCAGTTTTATTTCTATGTTGTAATGACACCTATAGAGACTTGAAATGACCATAGAAGAAAAAAAAGATTATAAAAATATCACCATAACTTAAGTATACAAATGAAATAGGAGTTTTCTTAGCGAAGTTTTTTTTGATCGAGTCCCTGGGGGAGTACAAAACATACGGACAAACTCCTAATGTAATAGCAAAAGACGCTATCACAGTAGACCGCCGATATGAGATTTTCTATTAGTTGAATGATGGTGAGAATATTGTCCGTAACTTACTAATAAATCTTCAGAAGATCGCATGAGGGCGCCAATTGGTTCTTCGGCTGTTTATGGAGACTAAAGAATAGTACTCATCCAACTTCATCTTCAGTAAAGATAAAACGTGACGCTGTTTTAGACACTTTGACGTTATAATCCATGCGCCGTAAGGTGATACAATACATGGCATAAAATCTCATAATTTGTTTATTTATGCATATATTTATCTGAAATTTGCTGTGTATATTACTAAAATATGTACTAAATAATAATGAAAATTTCAGAACGCAGTGATGTTTATTTTTCACACTAGACAACTTGTCCACGATTTTATGGGACAACCCTCGTATATCTAGTGAAACATATGAAGATACGAGGGGCTATCAACAAGTTCGTGGACTAGCACCATAAAATTAAAACCGCTTTAGGAACATCAATGAATTTTTAAATATTTAGTTATTATCATCTTTTCTATCTATGGAATAAACCACAAATCATTAATTTTATTTTTAAATAAATTAGTAAAGTTTTTGTAAGGAATAGTAGGTCCAGGCGGCGCAACCTCGAAAACGACGTTTTTTTCCGACCTCAGTGTAACTAAGATAAACTATTTTGATATGGACATTTGACATCCAAAAATTCCGTTAATCCAGGTATGTGTTGGGACACTATTGTTCCATAAAATATGAAATTTTTACCTCATTTTGGAAGTTCTATGAAATTTTATTGTAAATTTTACATGGAGTATCCAAACAAATATTGCCTTGAAAATGACGTCAAAAGGGGGGAGGAGTTTCATTTTCCAACATTCTATAAAGTTTTGCCCTTGAAAAACTGGTATACACCTAGGAAATTTTTAAACTGGCTACAGAGAATAAAATTGCATCCAGATTACTTGTTTTTTTATTGCCAAAATAGATTCAGAGAGAAAAGGGATGCAAAGTTAATGTCGATTTGTAGTGAAGGTTTGAAAAATCTATCACGTCAAATAATGACGTTGATCATGTGTTTTATAGCTATATTGAACTCCAAAAAACAAAATATGCTGGTACAATTATGAGGATGTCTTCCAGTGTATATTTGCAATAATATCTGCACTGAAAGCTGCTGTTCATGACATTGTTAAGTCATAAAAACAAGACGGGTTGAAGTCATTACTCAGCTCTAGGGAATCTCATCAAAATAAGTATTCGAGGTAGAAAAAGCGGACATTGAAAAATAATGACGTTGTCGGACGTCATGAAACTAAGCGGCGACGGCGCCGGGTGATCATATAATGTCGTATTTATTTTATAATAATTTACGGAATAATGAACGTATCAAGCTAAAATTTTCAACATTTCTTTATTTTTTGTTGTTTTATGTTCCTAATAAATTTTGTAAGCTCAGACAGCATGGTATTAATTTTATAGCCTCAGTCCACGAACTTTTTGATAACCCCTCGTAACGAACAATATTCAGGTTCAAAACTCCAACCAATACAGATCGGGAGTGGCGTAAAAGCGGACCTCTTAGAAGGGAATTACCGCCAAAAGTCTATGTATCTTGCTTTTATTCTTATTCTACCTACTTCTTTATGCTTTGTTATTGTTGTAATTATATGTCACTTTATTGTTTTCATATTCGTCTTTATTACATTTCACTTTGACTTTTATCCTTCTTCATTTTGCCCTTACTTTTATGTTGCTTTATTCTTGTAAATTCATTTTACTTTCTTTTAAATTGATACAGTTTCTTAAATGATTATCTCTATTACGAACGTGAATTCAATCACACAAAGAATGAAGCATATTCAATGAAGACGAATACAAGTTGGCAATATTTAGTGCCGCATTATAACGCTAGGTGGCAGGGGTGTTCGCTACGAGTGTTGGTAAAACTAGGTAAGCAAACCCGGGCCGGGGTTATTCGAGTTTTTTTTCTATTTTCTGTCTTAATACTTTATCAATCGAACTAAAATTTTCAAAGGATGTTTGCTATAAGTTCAGGTATGTACTCGATAATGCCATTCCCTCGGAAGATGGTAAGATTTCCCCTGGAAGACTGACTACATAGTGGTGTTTCCTTCGCGGAAGACTATACAGTGAGACTTCCCCGGGGAACTTTCAATATATAGCTAGTCTTCCGTGGAAAATCTCGCTGTATAAAACAATTCGTCCCCCTTCAAAGCAACCTCTCCCCCCGAATAGTTTTTTTAATCGTAAAACAATGTTTGTATACTAACGTTTTCAGTTTTTGAAGAAAACTTATCCGTCCTGATATGAATAAATGTTTAATCCATATCATTTTAATAGTGGTTAATAATTAAATCATTTTAACCATTTAGTTAACTTAGATAATCTTCACGAGTACAAATGGATAATGACTTTCTTCCCCCCCCCCCCCTGGATGCAGCCCCACCCCCCACCCCCCACCCCCCAGGTGCAGTCGCCTGCGTGGCACTGTGGTTACGGCGTCTGCTCTAGAGTCACGAAACACAGTAGTAAGGAGTCGATCAATACCACTATGGGACGTGGAGTTCGGTCCTTCGGATGAGATCTAGACCGTATTATCCGAGGTCCCGTTTTGCAGTAGGTGCTGGCACGAAAAAAGATCCCTCACTGCTCAATGGCTATAAGTGCCGAGTATATAGGACAAATTTGCAGCTCTCCCACCTGCAAGAGGTGGCTCCTCCATTTGAGTTAAAAATTCTCGAATTTAAAGGGACGTTATACAATGTACAATCATTATCACACCCCCAAGTCTCAATGAATATACTGACTTCCGTCTGTACGACCTCCTATGGGGTAAGTTTCATTGGTAGAGGGGAGGGTGGCCACGAAACATTTTCCTAAACGTAACAGACTTTCTACTTCTGGAAAAGTTCAGCGAAAGGCTTGTTGCCCCCATCCCTTACACTTTTTGTTGCAGTACTAATAGTCAATTTATATATTAAATATTAAAAGTCATGGACTTAGTGGCATATGAGTAAAATTTGGTATTGAAAAAAGTTGACGACCCCCCCCACCACCACCACCACCACCACCACCAAATAGAATTTTCAAGCTTTAAGATTTTTTTAGCTCTCCTGGCTGATGTAAAATACGGTGCGTACTAAAGATATTTCTTTTCTTTATTGAAAAGTGCTATTTCAATA